GCAACACCGGCCTTGTAGAGCTTGATCAGTTGCCTGGTGTATAGATTCACTGTAGTCTCCGACAAATTGTCATGCTCGCTTCGTAGCTTAATATCACGAGTAATTATAGTTTTAATCTCATCCAGACTGAGCATTTTAGATTTATTAACCTTCGACATTTCTTGTCTCTCGCTCTGTATATAATACAACAGATTTGTCAATTCAGATGTACAAAGAATTTAAAGTAGATTTAAGCCACGCGCAATCTGTCAAGGTTATACATGGCAAGAGTGTTCGTTTATCACACTCGCAGTTGAACAAAGGCCACGCGCATTATTTCCACCCTGAGAACTACAAGAAGCTTGTGAAGGCTTACGAATCGGGCAAAGGGACGACTTTGCATATGTCGCACGGAGAAGTTTTGCGAACGCATCAATCGGGACTCAGTGGCTCTGGCTTCTGGGGATCATTGTGGAATGGAATCAATCTGCCGCAAAAGCAATTGGTGGTTTCTTGAAGGATAACTGTCGCCCGATCACAAGCGGACTTCGGCGTCCGCTTCTGTTTTCCCAAAACAGTGCCCAAAGTGCCCAAAAGTGCCAAAAGCATTAAACTACAGAAAAAATAACTTACTACAGATTAGTAACTTTTTAATGACCTTTTAAAAAAAAAACAACCTATACCTACGTAATGAAAATATTATTTAATTAGTTTCTATTGTTGCTAAACTGTTTACAAATACATATTGAAATTAAACATTCCCATAGTAACATGTGATTTAGCGCAGACGAGGCATGCAGGGATATGTATATGGCGTTCCATGTTGTGGGGGTCGCTGTCGGCGGTGTCGAACGTCGGCAAGCTGGTCGAGGTAGTTTTTGGCTTCTTGTTTTAGAACTTCAACAAAGTTGAGTATGCTTGGATGTGGAGCTCCAAAGGTGTCTGCAAGCCTCCGATTGTACGCCTCTAGTGGGTTGTTAGTCCTGTTGACTATCTCGACATTTTCCTTCATCATCCCGGAGATATTCCAACAAAA